GTAATGGCTGGCAGAAGCGATATCACCTCAAACGAATGCGAGAGGCAGATCACAAATCTCAACCAGAGAACTACTATGGATTTCTAAACTTATGACATGGAAGTTGGAACTCTAAACATTAATCAATCATCATCTTTCAGGAAGAGGAAAACGCTTAGGCGACATACGATAAAATTCCGCTAAGTCATTTCTTGGTGAACTTAATCTCCCATGATCACTGAGATCCCTAAGTCAATCACTCTACGGCTAACCACAATTCGAGGGGCAAAAATTGGAGGTTTTAAGGGTACTTTAGCCTTTTAGCCCTCTCGAAAACAGAAACAGCTACAACAATGATGGCTAAAAATTTATGTTTTGTATTTAATATTCCTAACTTATGAATAGTTAAACTTATGTTTTTAATTTAAAATTTATATATTCATTCACGATAATTGAATACGAACATTTCGATAAAATTTGACCAAATTTTGAGATACTTTGTTTTTAGTTGAAATGGAAGAAAGTTAAACCGAAATGAACTTTGTTCATCAAAATTACCAAGATTTTGACAATTTCGGAGATACCTTTTTTTAGTTTAAATAGAAGAACGTTCCAATTTTTAAATATATATTTTTTGTTTTCAAATAACAATTGAACGGTTGAAAGTTACAATGAAAGAAACTTCGTTAGTTAAAAGCACTCACAACAACACAAGTATATTCAATTTAAGTACTAAAATAAAGAAAAGTTAGTATTTGAGTCTAAGGTGATGTTGGTGGAGTCGATGAACCATGCGAACTGGTTGGATGCATCCAACTTCATTCTTTGCAGATTGGGAGGACCGGACTTGGTGGGGAGCAAAGAAAGCGACTTCAAAAGAAAAGCCACAATTAGAGTCGAAAAGGATACGAGGGTAAAATCTCATCAAGATCGCCTAACAAACTTTTTTGGCTACTCTCTGTTAAAGCGGAAGCAAGTTCTCCTTGAAAATGCATCGTGGTAATACAGATGTTTCAATTTTTCAAAGTAATATAAGTCTTTTGAGGCTACTTCTAGTTGAGCAATGATCCAATTGGAGAAGCAAAGCATCTCTTTGTTGTCTAAACCTCGAGCCTAGGTTAGGACTTAGGACAGCAAGCCAGGGTTCGGTTCAATATTCATTTATTTTCGTGTGCTAATTAGCTCTCAGTTAACGAAAGGAACTAAAAGAGTTCTAAACTCGTCTCCACCGAGAGACCAAAGACTAAGCGCATAGGACACTAAAAGAAGCACAAGCCCCCGGTGAAGTTAACTACTGGACTAGAGAGTAAGGTGTGAGCGCGGCCATGAAAGTCGTTGCTGGTGACGCGGTCATCTACCGAGCGACGACAATGATGGCGACGTCGAGAAGACTTTTGGCGGTCTTGTTGATTTGACGAATATAACATGACGGGAAGATGATATCGATGGAGGGGTAAATTAAATTGTTGCTGTTCAGAACCGGTAGTGTAAGGAAGTTAGGTGGAAAACATGATGGTGATGATGTATGGCTGAGAGAAGGGAGGAGAGGGTTTAATTTACACGAGCATGAAGCCACCGACGACGAAACTTTGAAATTTCTAACTACCCTTCATATATGAACCAGCTCACTTTGTCATGGTTGAAAATGAGCTGTTAAAAATGGTATCTTCGGAGAAAAATAGCTAGTTAAATGCAGGGACGGAGCCAGGAATTTAGGTAGGGGACATGGTTGTCAAACCGGTTTCGTGCCGGCCGGTTCAACCGGGTACAACCGGTACCGGTCACCAAACCGGCTGGAAAGAGGCCGGTATTTAACTTTGGTCAGATCCGGTCAATGCCGGTCAAATCCGGTCAATTCCGAAAATTCCGGCCGGTTAGACCAGAAACCGGAATTCAAATGTACACAGATTTTATCCAAAAATAAACACCTTCCATAGGATTTGAACCAAGTACCTCATGTTTATTTTAGTCTCACTTATACACCAGTAGGCTACAAGCAACTTTGTTGTACATATTAACCTTATATATTATATATCTAATACTTAATTTTACACAAATCATTATAAACATTAATAAAATTCATTTTATATACTTTTATTTTTAAGCATCTAATTGTTTAGTATTAGTTACCAATTCTTAGCTATAAATTATTTTGTGTGAAATAATTTTTCTAATTGCTTTATGATGACTAATTTATTTGGAAGTGAGGATTTCCATTTGTCTCATATATTTTATTAAAACCGGCACAACCGGCGTGAATACTGATTGTACCACGGTCGGACCATTCCACTTTCAAAACCGGCACACCGGTATAAACCGGTTTGACAACCTTGGTAGGGGATAAAAAATTTGAAGTCAGAGTTTATTATGTTATTTATCATTCAACACAAATTACCAAAATATTGACATATAGAAGTCTATTTTTAAATAGTAGAAGAGATTCGTATAGAAAGGTTAGGTACGAGAGTAAGACAATGGGCAAGAAGTCAAAAACACTACTAAAATGGAAAACTTAGGTACCAAATCGTAAGGTATGCAAAATTTGGGACAAAAGGTGTACTAAAATGAAAACATTTGGTACCAAATTGCACATGCATAACTTGGGATTAAGAAGCAAAATTTCATGAATTTAAACGATTCATGCAAATTTTAGGTACCAAATCGTAAGACAATGGGCAAAAAATGTATCAAAATGAAAAATTAGGTACCAAATCGTAAAACATACAAAATTTTGAGGTTAGGAAGCAAAATTTTACAAAATTAAAAGCTTGAGATTAAGAAGCAAAATTTCATGAATTTAAACGATTCATGCAAATTTTAGGTGCCAAATCGTAAGACAATGGGCAAAAAATGTACCAAAATGAAAAATTAGGTACCAAATCGTAAAACATGCAAAATTTGAGGTTAGGAAGCAAAATTTTACAAAATTAAAAGCTGCTGCTAGCAACCATCAAACCTAGGACCTCCCCTTTAAAATCAAATGTTACACAACGCTAAACCACAACTTGTGTTGCGTATTATTAGTGCAAAGTCAGATATTAATATATTTTTTTTGTGTGTGTGTGTGGGGGGGGGGGGGGGGGCATGGCCCCCTGCTTACACGCTAGCTCCGTCCCTGGTTAAATGCGAGATATACAAGATCTTTGCAAGTTAGCTCACAAAACATTTAAAAAGAAAAGGGCGATGATGGGCGACCAATAACTTATCCAACGATGAAAGAGCTTGCTTTGCGACGCTGTATGTGCAACGTTATTATACGCATAAGGTACATAATGAAACTTAGCACAAAACCGATGGCCTACCGTCACCTTAATTTGAAACACCATCAAAATGTATATCATGTCTCTCTTCTATTGCAGAAATGGCATCTATAATTTAGTGAACGGCTATTTGCCGCCAATCAAATTGCTATTTGCCGCCAACTAAAAAAAAAAAAAAAGAATTCAAAATTTGAATTTTCTATTCCTTCCCAGTGCCTCCGTCGCCGGTAAAAAAAAAATTAAATTTTGAATTTTCCCTTCCTTCCTAGTGCCTCCGTCGCCGGCACCGTTCTTCCGTCGTCGGCTAACCTCCCGTCGCCCTCAATCGTCGGAAAACAAGTAAGTTTACTTTTTCCGGCCAGTTTTCCAGTTTTCCGGTAAGTTTTCCAGTTTTCCGGCGAAAAACACGGCGGGCCGAAAAAAAATTGCGGCCCGAACGTCGCCGAGCCGAAAAAAATTTGTGGCCGGGACGACGGCCGGCCGAAAAATTCTTTCGGCCCGGCGACGCCACGGCCGCAAATTTTTTTCGGCCGGTCGCCGAACACGCCGGCCAAAAATTTTCCGGCGCCGTGTTCGTCGGCCGGCCGAAAAAAATTTGCGGCCGGAGCGACGTCGGGCCGAAAGAATTTTTTTCGGCCGGTCGCCGAACACGCCGGCCAAAAATTTTCCGGCGACGTGTTCGTCGGCCGGCCGAAAAAAATTTTCGGCCGTGGCGTCGCCGGGCCGAAAGAATTTTTCGGTCGGCCGTCGTCCCGGCCACAAATTTTTTTCGGCTCGGCGACGTTCGGGCCGCAATTTTTTTTCGGCACGCCGTGTTTTTCGCCGGAAAACTGGAAAACTGGCCGGAAAAAGTAAACTTACTTGTTTTCCGACGATTGAGGGTCTAAACCTAATCCAATATGGGTCTAAACCTAATCCAATATGACAAAGGAAACGGTTGCAGACCAGGCCCAGAACCCGAACCCAAATAACATTGAGACCCCCGATTACCAGTCGTAGCGGCTGATAGTCCGATTCAAGTCACATCAACAAAGGGTTTAGGGTTCAGGGTTTAGGGTTCAGGGTTCACTTAGGGTTTAGGGTTTGAAACACATGGTTCGTGTAACACTTTGCCCACATTGTCTGATGGTTAGTGATGATTCATGGATGCGTGTACGCATTATATGTCGAGGATAGGCTTTCCCGATGATTTTCCGACGACTTTTCCGGCGAGCGTTGAATTTTTCTGATTCAATACGTTCTCTGAAAGTTGGATATGTTGTAGATTGTGAAACTCCTTAACCAAAGATGTATATATATACATTTTTTTTCATCGATGATTTTCCGGCGACTTTTCCGGCGACTTTTCCGGCGAGCGTTGAATTTTTCTGATTAAATACGTTCTCTGAAAGTTGGATATGTTGTAGATTGTGAAACTCCTTAACCAAAGATGCATATATATACTTTTTTTTTTTTTGGTTGGCGGCAAATAGCAATTTGGTTGGCGGCAAATAGCAAGCCCCATAATTTAAGGCCCTACCACGATGAATAAAGAACAAAAAATGGTCCGTAACGTAATAAATAAATGACAGTTCACAGCTACATTGTACGCGTATTAATTACTTTGCCTGCTACGTCTGTGTATATTTATCATCTACACATGCAATGTGGTGGTTGGAAATACAGAAGATATATCCCACTACGTATTTTTTTTTTTTTGACGAATATATATCCCACTACGTATAACATACAGAAATGGGAACACAGGAAGGAAACGAAACAATGGCAGCAGCAGCCGGCGGCAACGACAAGCAGCGCCGCCGCCTGGACATGACGAGGGAATGGACCAAATGGGACGTCTTCGCGGTGGTGAACTGCTTGCCGCCGCATTTGCTGACGTTAGTGGCGCCGTTTTACTTCAGCTGGGGTGCGTTTTGGTTTGCGATTGTGCTCGCCAACACCACGGGGCTGCTGGGCATCAACCTCTCTTACCACAGGCATCTCTGCCACAAGAGTTTCAAGATCCCCAAGTGGCTCGAGTATTTCTTCGCTTATTTAGGCCTCCACGCCCTCCAGGTAGCTCAATTTCTAATTTCTATCTTGTCTCTCCACATTTTAAAAATAGTCAAATGTGTCATTTTAAATCGGTTAGGATTCTTATACGGGTTGTTGACATGGTATCTTTATACTATTACATTATGTGTTTTTGCGTTGTTAGGTCCACGCTGTGGGATTATTGATAAAGTTATCAATATTTATATCCAACTTGTGAATCGCAAGTTAAATGTACAAGAATATTCTTGCTAGATTCATTAGGCTGCGAGTCAAATTCCTTCAGAACATGCTCTAGAAAAAGAAGAAAAAAAGGAGAAACCACATAAAAAAAGGGTCGGGAAATTCAGGTAGAGAACTAATAGTATATTAATGGGGATTGTATGTTGTTACTTTGTTATTTGTTAAAATATGAAGTAAATGATGTGAAAGTGGGTATCTTTTTATTGGAAGACAAAACCCCTTGTTGGGGATCTCTTGGTTTGGAATTGGGATGGGATTAAGTGCTAATCCTTATAGGGATTAGCACCGTGATAACTAGCAAAAATCACTACGGATTATTATAAAATCAATACAACATCTAGGCTAAATCACTACTAATTCAAATTAGTAGTAGTTTTTCCCTTGGTTAGGACGGTGCTAACTATTGTACAATTAGCACCGTAGCCGTTCCCTTTGGAATTGGATAGCCTTTTTGTTTCTTAACCAATATGTTCACTGTTACTGTAATAGTAAGAATTATTACAAAATTTGTACGAATATATATATCTAGATGGTTCTATATATTGTATACTAGGCAAAATTTGGTGTATGTCATACACCAGACAATCTCTATCGTCCGTGTTCATCTCAACGGTCAACATAAATGCGATAATTTATTTTTTAATTCCATAAAAATAGAACCCACATTAATGCTGGTCGTTGAGATGGACGCGGATGGTGGAGATTGCTGATGTACGACAATACCCCAATATGTGTGTTTCAGGTTAGATACTTCGGATGTGTTTGCGTTTACACTTATTACATATACTTTAACATAATTTGATAAATCAAAGTCTTTGGTTATTATTTTTTTAATTAAATCATTTTAAAAAATTAGAAATTAGTGTTCACCCATTAAAATTAGGGTATTGTACCATGCTCCAAACTCTGATTAAGTTGTGGTCTAAATAATAAAACTCAACAAGCGTATAATAATGTGAACGTATGATATTATGTATGCTGGACATACGCTAGCTTTTGCGATCTATATATATAATACTAATATTGTTGGAGGTAATGGCAGGGGGATCCGGGTTATTGGGTTAGCACCCACAGATTTCATCATCAACACAGTGACACAGATCGAGATCCACATAGCCCTGCCGAAGGGTTTTGGTTCAGTCACTTGGGATGGATCTTCAACTCAACCTCCATTAAAGGAAAGGTAATGTAATGTGTGTTATAACTTATAAGCAACTCTTGATAAATCGTGTCGGATGTTGTACTATCGGAAAAATCTGCAATATGGTATTTAATGCAGAAGTTGTTGTTCAACCTTTTCATACCGTTAAATCCTGTATCTACCAATTTTACTTTGGATTGGAGATTTTATTGACGGAACCACCTATACGATACGATTTTTAAATCTTTTGCTCAAAAGATTACTTATTTGGATTTAGATTTGATTTCTCGTATATATATGAATGTGATCATTCCTTTCCTAGCAGTGTGGAAGACGACAAAATGTTGGTGATTTGGATAATCAGGCCTTTTATAGGTGGCTTCATAAAACTTACTTTCTCCATCCCATATCCCTTGGTGTTCTCCTCTACAAATATGGTGGACTTCCCTACCTGTTTTGGGGAATGGTCAGTATCCCATCACCTTCTTCCGATCCTCACCTTTCTATTATTTTTCTTCTTGTCATTGATTTATATGGGTGAGATTAAGTAGCATAAGCTTTTGTCTTCCAACCATTTTAAGTTAGAATATTGATTAAGTAGTGTATATATATATATATATGCATATGGTTGCATCTATAATATCAGGAGCCAATTTAAAGATATTGTGTTCCCTTAATTCAAAAATGATATGTACTGAAGCAGTTATGATTTCAATATAAAGTGGTGTAGTCTAGATATTATTTTTTTTACTAAGAGTATGTGGTATCCAAAATTCACAAAGTGTACCATAGAACTCCGTCTGTATATAGGGAACCATAGAAATCCTCATAGACCGCTTGGTGAACTTGGGTACTACATACTCTTACTCATAAAATAATATTTAGGTCTTGAACTAATCAAATTTTAGGGCATGTACTATACTCTAAGATAAATTTATATATAAAATGATACTCTAAATCTCAATGAGTAAACCATATAGCTATTCTCTAAACCCTAAGATAATTTTATATGTAAAAATTATTGGTAATTCTAACTCATTGAAACACAAGTAACATACTAGATACACGCAGTCAAAAAAAAAACATACTAGATACACAAGTTTCGGGTTTGAATTACTATAATCACGTCTTTAAAATTACTATAATATCAATAATTAACTTGTATTTTAGATATGCTTGCGGGATTTTCAGTTCACATTACGTAAAATATGCTTATTATGTAATATAGTTACATAATATATGTTTATCTTACATATAGTTGTAAAATTGATATTGTTTTAAGTCTTACATAATAGTTATTTTCAGGGATTTCGTGTTGTTCTTTGTCATCACTTGACGTGGCTAGTGAACTCAGCTGCCCATACTTGGGGAACCCAAGCTTGGAACACCAACGACTTGTCCAGAAACAATTGGTGACCCAGCTCTTAAATTGTGACGCCTACCATTTATATCAACAGTGATGAACTTTTATATTATTGCAAACTTTTTAAGGTAATCTCAATATATATAGGTGGGTGGCGATGATGACGTTTGGAGAGGGTTGGCACAACAATCACCACGCTTTCAATAGCTCGGCAAGGCATGGACTCGAATGGTGGCAGATTGACGTGACTTGGTATGTGGTGAAGTTCCTTCAAGTGGTGGGCTTGGCTTCTGATGTCAAGATCCCAACTCGGCTCCAAATGGAAAAGATGGCTATCAAAAATCGTTAATGACCCAGTGTCGTAATGAATAAGAATATCGTTTGTTTGTTGGATTTGAAAATGAGCGTCTTAAGTTTCAAAAACCTTTGAATTTATGTTGGATTTATAACATTATGAATTTGGAAGAGTACACTGTCTGTCTAGTTTATTTTTATCATAGATTTATGATGGATTTGTATTACATTTTGCATTTCATTATCAAATCCCAAATGAAATGTGGGATTTGCAAATCCGTGGGGTCCACGAATTTGGATTTAAAAAATGAGTCTAAATCCATGGACCCCACGAATTTGCGCCCCTTAACAAACAATGAATTTGTGTCAAATCCATGATCCTTGGGATTTGAGTACCAAATCCATCACCCAATTCCCACAAGCAAACGATACCTATATGTATGTTTTACAAATAAATGGGATGAAGACCTAGCTTAGGCCTCTAGCTCTAAGGAACTCCTCTAGCAATTCTATCGTTGATGTTTATGTCTCAGCTGCTATATATACATAATAGGTATGCCCGCCCGCGTTCCATTGCGGGATTGAGATGAAGTGATGAAACGTTTTTGTGTCATTGGTCAGGTCACATAAATTTGGTTCAGTAACAAAATGGTAACAAACGTTTAAAATGTAATAAAAAGGTCATACTAATAAAAACAACTATATTGTGTATTTTCATCTATATTTTCATCCAAACTGGCCAATTAGCTTGCTATGGACGAGAGGGAATTTTACACGTCAGTTAGGTATATTGTGTCATCGTATCACAATGTCGTGATATGATGATACAACCAGATTTTGTAGGTTGGGTTTTGTACCCTTTCCACCCCCTTAAAAAAATATAGAATTCCGAGAATCACGGATCGGGCTTCAAAACGTATGTGACATATACACTTTTTTAAGAGCTTCGCATTGTAAAACCAGCCCCATGGTTAGTCCCAAACAAAAATTAGAGGATTGTGTGAACGGTTGTCATTAACACTTGCTTAGTGTCCGATTATACACATGTATAGGTATTTTGTTTAAAAATTATCATTATTTTTCTCAACATATTTTATATTTATCATGAAATTGTATTGTTTATTAATTAATTTTCTTCATTTAAGTACTTTATTGTTGTAATTTGTCATTTATATAATGTCAGTATATGTGCCGTTGTTAACATGATGGTTGAAATTATAAAGAAAAATTATTATCCATGGATAATTGTTGATACCCGAAATCCGATCGCGTATGGGTATGATTTTAATATTCTACCTGATGCTTATAAGTTATAATATAACTATGAATGTGTAAAATCCAAATTATTTTGTAGTGGAATGAATATGCACTATCCGACTCCTACTCGTTGCCATCTCTACTCATATTACATTTAAATGATGATATTATTACACATGAAGCCAAGTTTAAAATAATATATTAAAAAAACAAAAAAAAAACACCTTACTCCAACCATAACACAGGCTCAACAAAAACAAACCAATTTAAGTAAAACTAAAAAAAATGGGTACCAAAGCTAAAAATTTAGTGAACAGTTAAATGAATTCATGTTTGTATATATATATTAACTAGGCATGCCAGGATTGAGATAAGGTGTTGAACCATTTTTTGTTATTATCAAAGTGCTCGCATAGATTTGATAATAATAATAATAATAAAAAAATGATCCCAAACGTGTAAAATGTAATAAAAAGGTAAATTTAGTGTCAAGATATAACAAAACAACTATATCATGTATTTTCATCCATATTTTTATCCAAAATGGCCAATTAGCTTGCTTAGGATAAGAGGGGATTTTACAGGTTAGTTAGGTGTACTGTATCATCGTATCACGATGTTGTGAATCATGATATGATGATACGATGGGGTTTTGCGGACCAGAGTTTTGTACTCTATCCACTCGCTTAAAAATATATAGAATTCCAAAAATCACGGGTTGGGCTTCAAAACGTATGTGACATATACGCTTTTCTAAAAGCTTTGCATTTAAAACCAGCCCCATGGGGTTAGGCCCAAAAAATTAGAGGATTGTGTGAACCACTGTAATTAACACGTGCTTAGTGTCTGATTATATACATGCATATGTATTTTGTTTAAAATTATCATTTTTTAACATATTTGATATTTATTATGCATATATAATATTTTCATGAAATTTTATTTTCCTCACTAATTTTCTTCATTTTAATAATTTATCGTTGTGATTTGTCACTTATATAATTTTGGGTATATGGAGAGTTGTTAACAAGTTGTGTATGGTTTGATATTCTATCTAATGTTTATATGGGTATGGATATGTATATAATCCGAACTATTTTTGGTTGGAAAATATATATGCATTATCTGACTCCTAATCGTTACCATCTCTAGTTCTCTACCCATATTGCATTTTAATGATGATATTATTATACATAAAGCCAAGATTTTTATAAAATAAAATATATAGAAAGTGCCAACAACAAAAAAAAATACATTACTCTAATAGTGCAACCCCAATGAAAACTCATTTTGATTTGACATCATTATTATATGATGGTAATAAATATAAAATTAAAATAAATAGGTGACCAAAGGTAAAACTTTTATTGAACGGTAAATGAGATTCAAGTTTATATATATTTAACTAGGTGTGGCCTATGATGCATTATACTTTTTAGGTGGGCTTTATTATATGATATATTTAGGGATGCATAATCAAATATTATGTTTGTCTCGATAGTAAAATCATTGTTTTGTGAAGAGGGGTCAATGTTCAAAACTTATTAACTCCACCTTATAATTCACCATTTTAAGGTATATTCATTTTCCGAGTGAGGTTCATGGACCCTACATCTCCTCACCTATCTCCGCCAATGAATAACAAAGTTGATATATGAATATCTATGGAAAATTTGTTGTGGCAAAGGATTTGTCAAGATTATGAGTCTCCATTTCAAAATACACCAATGTTCTTAAATGGAGAACAACATCGAGAAAATATAGTAAATAATGGGTTGAAGACATTTTTCGTAAAAGAAAATATATGAGTAAGCGACGCGGTCATGCGGGCGCGCACAAAAAAAAAATTGCTTAGATCCAACGCATGTTTAATAAATGTGGGTGCACATAAAACACCTAGCGGTATATGAGGTTTTTCCTCCAAAGAAAGAGAAGATAAACACACCGAGAGAAATATCTGCAAATATGAACCATCTTTGGTTAAGATTCATTATCGTTCTCAAATTAAGGAGATCAATATTTCATCAAATAGCAGGCATAAAGGACAATTTAACATACCAGAACGAAAAAAAAAACATATAAAAAATTGCCGCAAAGATGAATACTCTGTGGTTGGGATGAATCACAATTCTCATCAAATTGAGAAACTCATCGCACAAACACATGAAATAGCAACCAAAAGAAGTTATTTTCCAAAAGAATAGGACGGCCCGAATGATGCAAGTGCATAAAATTTAAATAGGAATGCATATGGTCACTATATTAGTCAATCGTCGTTCTCAAATGAAAAAGAACATAAAATCGCTGCAAAGATGAACACTTCACAGTCGGGATGAATCATCATTTTCAAATCGAGAAACGCATTGCAAAACACAAATGGAATAGCATCAGAATGAAGTTTAAAACCACCGCAAAGATGAATCAACATTCCCCAAGTCAAGAAATACATGGAAAAAAAAACACATGAAAAAGTAACAAAAATATTTTTCCAAAGATAATCGGAAGCCCCGAATGATGCAACTGCACAAACTTCAAATAGCAATAATGCTCACAACTTAGCATTGCTCTTAGGCAACATGATATGGGTCCAACACAAAAAAAAAAAAAACTCACAAACAACCCAAATTAAAAGGATATTATAAGGACGGTCCAAATAAAGAGCTCATTATATATAAATATATATTTTTAAGTTGAAACCTTAGTGAAGAGTAACCCAGATCTACACCCCAACCAGCACTCAATTAGGCTCGTAAATTGGGCCAAAATTTTTGATCCGAAGTTGCTGATTATGGCCTCCGCCCATTCTTTACTCTAATTACAATTCTTCTTTCCAACTTCCCAAAATAATTAAATCTGCCTTCTTACCACTATTAATTCTTCTCTCCTACGGATCAATCATCATTATTACCAATGGGCTTAAGCCCAACCAGCCCAACCAGAGTTCTTTGTGAACAGTAGAAATGATTTCACTTTATATATATATAACTTTTTTTTTTTGGTAGAAAATAACTCTATTCTTCTGCAGTCGTAGGTTATTCATACTGAGTCATGAATACTTTATACCAGGGTGGTGGTTACTGTATGTTGGGCACATGGGATGGTAACTTTAATGTATACCGGATTGTGGAGCTAAACTTTATATTTAAAGTGCTTTTATCTAAAATGTTAGCTAAACTCGAGATTTGGGCATTTGGTGTCAAGGAAGTTATTTCCAAGTATCGAGTCACACATTATCTACAACTGCATGAGTATTTGGTTGAGTAGTGTTTACATTAAAATTTAACCTAGTACCACCTCATTTAAAATTCGAGTAATTAAATGAAATTTTAATATCAACTTGAGATACCCGCCCTTCCCATCCATTTGTCATCAGTAATCATCATACCTCCTAGTGTGACGAGGAGGTTCGTCAGCATTACCCCTAGTGTGGTGAGAGAGGGTCATCAGCACTCCCCTTGACGCAATGAGAAGGGTCATCAGTTTACCTCTAGTCTAGCAAGGAGGGTGATCACATTGATGTAGAAAACACAAGTGATAATCCTAGATGTGCATTGGGTAGTATTCAACGAGGTCTTTTGATAGTATCTACTCAAATCTAACCAATTGAATTTGAATGAATGCAAAGAAAAGTAAAACAAATGGGTTGAGGTGCCTTTGATTTCGTGTCCTAAGCTACTATGCAAACGAAGAAGTAAACAAATAAATGCAAGGGATGCAAATGTGTAAAACAAGGAAAACTAATGTTTAGGTCGTGATATCTAGATGATTATGAACAGTAATTCCTCAATGAAATGCTTT